GGAGTCCTGGAATTCTGACAATTTCCTCGAATTCTGACTTTTCTTGGTGTTCTGACTTTTTATATGAAATTCTACTTTTTTCTTGGAATTCGGAACTCCATATTCGGAAATTCATTGAATCCTGACTTCTAACCGTTTCAGATTCTGACTTTTTACTTGGAATTCTGACTTTTCCGATATTCTGATTTTTTTTCCGAAATTCTGACTTTTTCCGATTTATTCTGACTTTTCCTTTGAATTCTGACTATTTTCGAAATTTTGACTTTTTTCTTGGAAATCATTCAAAAATAAAATGTCACCTTTGCTCATATCTAACAAAACAATGTCACATGTGGCCCTAATCTTCTTCCATGTAGAGCACACCTTCAAAATCTAAAAGGCTAGAAATCTCCGTCTCATTAATCCAGTTTTCCCGACCCTACAAACCAGAGATGGAGTACTCGAGTCCTGGACTCGGACTTGGACTCGTGAATTCTCGCGTACGATGACTTGGACTCGGACTCGTGAATTTCCCCCCCCACGATGACTCGGACTCGACTTGTACATTGACGCTCAGACTTGGACTCGGACTCGAGCAAGTTTTCTCTGGAGTCTGATGTCCTCTATCCTGGCGTGTGCACCTGCGAGGCGAGTTCACGTACTGGGCCCCGCTATTCCAGTCTAGAGATGTCTAGAGACACACCCCGCATCGTGCTGTATGCTTTCACACATTCTGCTTTCACACATTCTGCTTCCACATTGGAAAAGAGCAGCAAAATGCTCTATGTGAAGAGAAGGCTCCGTAACACATTACTCTAAACATCGAGTTCAGACATATAGGCTGTCTTGAACACTATCATCAGAGTAACGTGATCTAATCAATAAATAAAGATTCAGCCGATAACACGAAAGCACATGGCTACTTAACATGCAGAATGACGTCATGTTGCATGCTAAGTAGCCATGTGCTTTCTGGGGCTCAATCTTTATCAGTAAACCGATTTAACCGGGAAAAGTTCCTTCAAAATAAGAGTCCCGATTTTATTACTATCAAAATAAAAGTGCAAAACGAAAACTTTACCATAGGAAAATATTGGCATACAAATATAATCACTTCTCTAAAAGGTAACTAATTTTAAATATAGTTAGACATATTAAAGGTCATTTACAATAATAATAATAATAATAATAATAATATTAGTAATAAGCTTTATATTTGTATAGCACCTATTACAAGACTTGTAGCCAAACTGGCTTCACAGCAGTTCAATAGACAGATTAGTATAACATGACAGGATGAAAGCAATGTAGAGGAGCAGCTACATTTCAACACATATATCCACGAAGATGAATACATGAAGACTTGTGACTCGGACTTGACTTGGACTCTTCTTAGGTGACTCGGACTTGGACTCGGACTCGAACACAGGTAATGATGACTCAGACTCGGACTCGGACACTCCTTGGGTGACTCGGACTTGGACTCGGACTCGAACACAGGTAATGATGACTCAGACTCGGACTCGACTCGGACACTCCTTGGGTGACTCGAGAGTGACTTGGACTCGTGAATTGGTGACTTGCAGTGACGTGCGGTGAGGTTCATGGCTGGTGAGGCACTGACTCACTGAGTCAGATTTACAAATATTATATTTTGACCTTAATCGAAATATTCTGTTATTTTCAAAAGCTTTTTTAGTCTGATGCTTCGATTAATTTTAAACAGACCGTTCAACAAAAGGATACCCACAATCTAAATATTGGATTGTTCTTTCTTAGTAAGATCCCATTTTCATTACAGTTGTGGTCTTACCTTGACTTGAAGATGAAGTCCATGCTATCCTTCTGGACAACAATCTCTATTACTGTTTTGTAAAAGTCCTCCTTATCTTCCTGTAGTTTCAAAAGTCTAGTTTGTTGTTTGCGGTAGAATAACAGTAGCAACAAGAACCTGTGGGCTCACGTGCGCCCCCTGCAGTGCGGCAGAGGTTATGGCTGCCTCCCCTGGTGCTTTCTCATTTCCGTTGTACGATGAGACCAGCGAGCCTAAATATCATATATACGTGAAATAAGTTATTTAGAGACTATGGATGGCGAGGATAAATGTAATAAAGGGATCTACATACATTACATTGGTGACCTACAGTGAGATGGGAACAGGCACGCGCTTAGGGCCCGCTTTCCAGCCAGTTTCTGTGGGGTGACGCATTCTGAGGTGAGGCAGATCTCATCTGTGCCTCACCTCACCCCACAGTAACTGGCTGGAGCGCGCTCACAAAATAAGTGCCTGCGCTAAATTAGTGCCCGCGCTCCAGCAAGTTACTGTGGGCTTACGAGAGGCAGAGCACGTCCCTGCCTCACTTCTCATCGCTCCCGTAGCGGAGCTCGGCAAATTTGCTGATTTTGACTATAAAAAGCGATTGGAATCAAACATAAATCACATTTACACAAGATCAGTGGAGACATTTTATTATTATTATTATTTAGTTTTTCTTTAGTTGTTTTTCCGTTACATTGGAGTATGACAGGTGAGGCTCTGCCTCCCCTGCCTCCACTGACTGCACGTCGCTGGTGACTTGACTACAACACTGCTACAAACCACATAATAAAACAACAGGAACCTCAATATTTCTGATCAGGATTGTGTTCAAACTAAAGATGAATCTTAATATGCAGATTCATTTCTTGCCTCAGATGTACGCTGTCTGTTTTCTGAATACCACTCACAGACGTTGTTCACAGAGTTAGAGACTCATGCTGAGCTCCGGCTGCAGGATATTAAACTGCAGCCGAGCGGGATTATGATGATTGATGGAGGACGATGGAGTCACTTGTTCAGTTTAAAATGGTTTATTTATGATGGATGTTAAGCTGCATGCATTCCCTGTCTGCTGGAGGAAGAAGTGAAATCTATCGCCAAGGTCCACCGCGTCTGATTTACAAATCCTCCGGCTGTGATCATCCTGCAGAATGTGGTCAACAGCAGCAGAGGTTCAACTCTGAAGAGAACACATTTCATATCATACACACTCTGAAACTCTGAAGAGAACACATTTCATATCATACACACTCTGAAACTCTGAAGAGAACACACTTCATATCATACACACTCTGAAACTCTGAAGAGAACACATTTCATATCATACACACTCTGAAACTCTGAAGAGAACACACTCTGAAACTCTGGAGAGAACACACTCTGAAACTCTGAAGAGAACACACTCTGAAACTCTGAAGAGAACACATTTCATATCATACACACTCTGAAACTCTGAAGAGAACACACTCTGAAACTCTGGAGAGAACACACTCTGAAACTCTGAAGAGAACACACTCTGAAACTCTGAAGAGAACACATTTCATATCATACACACTCTGAAACTCTGGAGAGAACACATTTCATATCATACACACTCTGAAACTCTGAAGAGAACACACTTCATATCATACACACTCTGAAACTCTGAAGAGAACACATTTCATATCATACACACTCTGAAACTCTGGAGAGAACACACTCTGAAACTCTGAAGAGAACACATTTCATATCATACACACTCTGAAACTCTGGAGAGAACACATTTCATATCATACACACTCTGAAACTCTGAAGAGAACACACTCTGAAACTCTGGAGAGAACACACTCTGAAACTCTGAAGAGAACACACTCTGAAACTCTGAAGAGAACACATTTCATATCATACACACTCTGAAACTCTGGAGAGAACACACTCTGAAACTCTGGAGAGAACACACTCTGAAACTCTGGAGAGAACACATTCATATCATACACACTCTGAACTCTGAAGAGAACACCTCTGAAACTCTGGAGAGAACACATTTCATATCATACCCACTCTGAAACTCTGGAGAGAACACATTTCATATCATACACCGAACTCTGAAGAGAACCACTCTGAAACTCTGGAGAGAACACATTTCATATCATACACACTCTGAAACTCTGAAGAGAACACACTCTGAAACTCTGGAGAGAACACATTTCATATCATACACACTCTGAAACTCTGGAGAGAACACATTTCATATCATACACACTCTGAAACTCTGAAGAGAACACATTTCATATCATACACACTCTGAAACTCTGGAGAGAACACATTTCATATCATACACACTCTGAAACTCTGAAGAGAACACACTGAAACTCTGAAGAGAACACACTGAAACTCTGAAGAGAACACACTGAAACTCTGAAGAGAACACACTGAAACTCTGAAGAGAACACACTGAAACTCTGAAGAGAACACACTCTGAAACTCTGAAGAGAACACACTCTGAAACTCTGGAGAGAACACACTCTGAAACAAAAAAACTATTCCCCTCAAAGAACAAACCAAACATGCTCTGTTGTCGTGAGAGAAAAAGTGCAGAAGGAAACATGTGAACTCAGTGTGCTGCTCTGTGATGCTAGCTCAGATACTTGGCATCTCATCTTGGGTGCAAGTTCATCAATGTTTGGGGTCAGGCTCTGAGCTGAGGAGACCCTCAGGATGGAGTGAAGGTGTGCGTGCAATATACCGGCGGGCCAGATCTAATAGCAATTAGAAATTATCCTGCGGGCCGAAATTAAATCCACCGAGGGCCTGATTTGGCCCCCGGGCCTTGAGTTTGACATGTATGCATTAATGCGTGTTTAATTCTAACGATGTCACCTGTCTCTCCTCTGTGTGTCCTCTGTGTGTCCTCTGTGTGTCCTCCAGGTGTGCGACCTGTCCTTCAGCCTGAAGAAGATGCTAAGTCGACACAAACTCACTCACAACCCCAACCGGCCCATGGCAGAGTGCCAGCAGTGCCACAAGAAGTTCACCAGGAACGACTACCTCAAAGTGCACATGGAGAACGTGCACGGGGAGACGGAGAGCTGATGCCTGAACCCTCTCAACATGCTGTAAACACAGATGCAGCGATAGCACACATGTTGCTAACGTGCAGAATGTGGAAGACGTTTGAGTTAAACAGAAACATCATTTGGTTTCCTGCAGAGAGTCTGCTCGTCTGATCCAACCAGTGTTACATTACATTCACCTGGAGCTCCTAACCAAAGGGACTCACGGTGAGTGCATTAAGAGACTCATGAGGAGAGACAAGGAGCTCCAGACGTCTCATACGGATCTCTGTTACTGTGTGACATCACTGGGAGACACCTTTAACGTGTACCTGAACTCTTCCTCCATGTGTTAGCACCTGCTCTCAGGTGTGATATAACCTCAGAAGCACGGGGCTCCCTTTAGTATTTCTAAATAAGAGTATTAAAACAGGCTGGCTGCAGAATCTGAAACAGAGCTCAGTGTTATTTACAGCGAGTGTAATATTCTGTCATCAGTGTTTCGTTATCCTCTCCAGATCCACGAGGACCTTCAAAAGGAAAGTTACGAGTTGCTTTAAGAATAGTTTGTTGTTGTGTGAAGCAACCAGCTCTCTGTCTGCACTCATCATCTGTTAGAAAACATTACAACTGTACCTTTCATAATCATTTAAGATGAAGTCCCCGCTGCCTTCTGGTGCTAAAAGTATGTTTCTGTTCCATAATGTGTTATTCGTACGGAAGTTGTTTCTTCATGTGTTTTTTATATCTGCATCCTTTCTGACGCTGCAGTGTTTGCACCCGTCGGCCTCCGTGTAGTCGGGACCAAAGGATCATCCAAAGTACTGTGTGTACGCGTAGGACAGTGTGTCAGGGCCAGAGTAGAGCCAGAGTAGAGCCCGAGTAGAGCCCGAGGAGAGCCCGAGTAGAGCCCGAGGAGAGCCCGAGGAGAGCCCGAGGAGAGCCCGAGTAGAGCCCGAGTAGAGCCCGAGGAGAGCCCGAGGGGAGCCGAGTGGAGCCCGAGTGGAGCCCGAGTGGAGCCCGAGTGGAGCCCGAGTAGAGCCCGAGTAGAGCCCGAGTAGAGCCCGAGTAGAGCCCGAGTAGAGCCCGAGTAGAGCCCGAGTAGAGCCCGAGTAGAGCCCGAGGAGCCCGAGGGGAGCCCGAGTGGAGCCCGAGTGGAGCCCGAGTAGAGCCCGAGTAGAGCCCGAGGAGAGCCCGAGTAGAGCCCGAGTAGAGCCCGAGGGGAGCCCGAGGGGAGCCCGAGTGGAGCCCGAGTGGAGCCCGAGTGGAGCCCGAGTGGAGCCCGAGTAGAGCCCGAGTGGAGCCCGAGTGGAGCCCGAGTGGAGCCCGAGTGGAGCCCGAGGGGAGCCCGAGGGGAGCCCGAGTGGAGCCCGAGTAGAGCCCGAGTGGAGCCCGAGTAGAGCCCGAGTGGAGCCGAGTGGAGCCCGAGTGGAGCCCGAGTGGAGCCCGAGTGGAGCCCGAGTGGAGCCCGAGGGGAGCCCGAGGGGAGCCCGAGTGGAGCCCGAGTGGAGCCCGAGTGGAGCCCGAGTGGAGCCCGAGTGGAGCCCGAGTGGAGCCCGAGTGGAGCCCGAGTAGAGCCCGAGTAGAGCCCGAGTAGAGCCCGAGTAGAGCCCGAGTAGAGCCCGAGTAGGCGGTAACATTAAAAACATTCTGGCCCAAATTTCTCCCCCTTTTTTTGGATGGAGCTAATTTATTGAAGTGATTTTATTTTTGGCAAATTGGTGTTTTTAATCACATACATGATAGAGAATATTAGAGTTTTCATGGTACACTTCTCCTCTTCGATCACAGAGAATATCTATATTGAGATTTAGGACCACATGTACATTTCTTTTAGATATGAAATGAAAGTCAAAATTCTTAAATGTTTGGTTTAGATCTCACATATTGGTTTCTCACGTGAGGCCCCTTATCGCTTTCCATGGGACTTGTTTCTCATAAAGGTACGACTTAATACTCTTAATTACTCCTTCTTTTTCACTACAATGGTCCTGACAGGCTTCCGTACTTCCACCATGTTCTGTATCGAATGTTTCCATATGACTGACAGTGGTTGTGCCTTACTGTGTGTGTTCATCATTGTTAATACAGTGTTTCATGTATTTCAATAGAACTCAGAGTGTTTCCTGTTCACACACACACACACACACACACACACACACACACACTGCGACCCGTCACTTCACACGTTTGTATTTTGAAATGTATAAAACATCATCAGTGAGTAAACAGCCGTTTCCTGCCCGTCTGATGATGTGTTTGTGGACTGTTGACGTTGGTGGGGAGTCTTTGTTAATCTGGCTTTTTATAAAACGTTTCACTCTGAAGCATCTCTTCATCACACTCCATACATCCTGCCATGTTTCCAGCTTCACACACACACACACACACACACACACACCTCCTGCAGAGTGTGTGTTCAACAATTAGATCATTACTGAGGTTCATGTTGGAGTTCAGCGGCTGCTCACTGGTTCAATCACTCAATGTGTATTTATATAGGACAATATCACATGTTACATTTGTCTCAGTGGACTTTACACTTTGTACAGAATATGAATACGACCCCCTCTGACCCCCCTCCTTCACAGAGAGCCAGCAGGACGTACTGGGTGTATTCAAAGTGTCCGTAGTGGAGGCACCACTTCCAGTCTCATGATGTGTTATCTTCAGCTCCTGATAAAGCGTCCTCTGCTTCCCGGGTTTTCCTGATCGTCCCCCTTCAGGGCGGGACCGCTGGTTCGTGGTTTCCACTGACGCACTCTCACACACAGCAGCATTTAAACTGCATCCTGTCTGTCTCACAGTGACAGATGTGAACTCTCACTGGTCAGCGGCTTGAGCTTCAACCTCAGGATCCATGTATAGAGTGGCGAAGTCCCGCCCATCTACTTCCGCCCCATGGGACCTTATTTCGGAAAAATAATGTATTGAAGTCAATGGGGAGAAAACTTATCTCTCGATCCCGTTTGAATTGTGCCATGAATTACACACATGATGTTTGTCAATCTCAAAAAATCATTTCCATGTCAAAAAAGTCACAGTTTGTCGTAAAACTGTTGAAATATAAGACTATGAAAAATACGTAACTAGAAAGACTACAAATCCCAGAGTCGCGTAAGTGATGTCACAATTGTTTTCCTCCACTAAGAGATAGCTAAGATCAGCGCCATATAGATATAATCTATCTATATGGCGCTGGCTAAGATAAGATAACTTTAACAAGATGCCTGTGTGCTTAGTACTAGGTTGTTATCATACCAGCAATGGGTCTTGCTCGTTCTTTCGCTTCCCGTCTGATGAAAGGACCAGGAGTGTCTGGATCAAGCTAGCTAGTAGCTAGCACGTTAGTTAGCATTACAGCCTTGTCATTTTTATTAGCCTTAACATGAAGTAACATTAAGTAACCCAACATGTTAAACAGTAAGAGTAGTAGTCATATTTCGTGAACCCTTTGAAGAGTACTGTCACCGGTGTGATCATTCTATAATACACCATTTAAGCAAGGGCTGGTCTGCCTTCACTAACTGTACGGAGGCTCAGTCACTGGTACATTTTTATATATAAAGCCATGTTAGGGAAACTTCCATCCTACATCTGCTCCCTGATCTCACGGCGAATTGTAAGTGGCTACTGCCTGAGATCGCATGCTGTGGTTTTATTAAATGTGCCAACTGCTAGGACTGTCTTAGGGAAGATAGCATTTAGATGCGCAGCTCCACTGTCCTGGAATAGTCTGCAATTAAAATGGAAACTGAGCAATCTGGTGCCACTACATGTTTTTAAAGCTCGGTTGGATGCTACTGAATCAGAAGCTGTTGGTACCTGTGCATGTGGATAGTATGTAATTTGTAATCCCTGTAATGCTACTGTATGATGTCCTTTCTGTTGTTCTGTTTATGTTTTTAATGTTTCATGTGGAACCTACTTGAGCAGGTCTCCCTTGAAAAAGAGGTCAATGATCTCAATGGGATACAACCTGAATAAATAAAGGTTTGAAATTAAATTAAATTAAATTAAATGAAATGAAGCCCGGGGGAGAAATGCTAACGCTAACGCTAGCGATCTTCTCTACTTCATGCTATCTGCACAAATGGTTGACATTAAACATTAAAACAACCAGGCAGTTCAGAGAGAATCAAAGGAAGGCAGGCAGGCAGCTTTGCATGACTTTCTTCAGGACGTGTTTCATTGTGGTGATAGTGAGGGTAGTCAATCGTTTGTTGACAAGACAGTAGTGACGGCCATCTTGGTGACGTGTGTTGTTGACCAGAGATGTAGTTCATTGAGCGTTTCACACAAACAAAAGTGTTACTTCACAGTTTTACCACACATTTTTTTTTTTTTGACTTGCAAAATGATCTTTTAAATTGACAAACATCATATGTGTAATTCGTGGCACAATTCAAACGGGATCGAAAGATAATCTTTCTCTCTCCATTGACTTCAATACATAACTTTTCCGAAATAAGGTCCCATGGAGGTCCACCGGAAGGGGAGGGACTTCGCCTCTCTATTCCTGATCCTCTCCAGAATGGAAGGAGTCATCACATACAGAGCATCAACTAGTTCCTGAACAGTGTCCTTCACATGCTGATATCCAAGAGAGGGAGTTACACACAGGTTTCTTACACCTTTTCCAAAGTCAAATTCAAGCACTTTTCAAGCATCTTACAGCTGTTGTAAATTACATATTTATATACACATACTCAAATGATTATTTCCCTACCTCACATTAAATCAGATGTTCTTTATGCTATAAACAACCAAATGTGTGTTTCAGAATAGCATTCTACATGAGGATGAACAATTAAAATTTTTAGAAAAGAAAACTAAGTTTAATATTTCAAAATGAGACCCATCTGTACGTAGACTGGGCATCCCATATAACCTGGCTGAGCCAATATAAAACAATCAGCCAAATAACTTTTCAATATATTATTGATTACTATTTTTGAGGTACTTTTAGGTTGGCAGTAAACACAAGTCAGAGGTAAATGGTGTACTTCTACTCCACTACATGTATTTAATACCTTTAGTTACTTCACAGATGTGGATGAATGATGTGAAATATAATCAAGTGTTAAATCAGACTTTAGTTCCACCTGGAGTAAATCCACAAGCTACCCTGCAGTATACAAAGTCATTCAAACTAGCTGCACCTTTACCAGCTTTGAGAACACTTTCATGATCAATCATTATAAAACATATCATATACTATTATTAGGGATGCTCCGATCGCCAATTTTGGGGCCGATCGCCGGAATCAGCTTGTTCCAGAGGTAGATCAAATAGCTAAGTGTGTTAGGTCTAACTCTTAATGTGTGTTCTGCTCCGCTCACCGGTCCGTCACAGCGGGTGGAGCTGCAGGATTTCTGCTTCACACACACGTTGCATACCGCTATTTTATTGTCATTTTCGGACACTTAAAATACTGCCAGACTAGTGAAGCCATTTTGGCGAGCTTGTTTTGCCGCACAGAGAAAAGTGTCATGTATTTTACATGCAACGATAGCCTAATCTAAAATGCTCTACTATGGCGTACCTTTCGTGTGGTGCGTGGCGTCAGCGCAGACTCTCGCATCGTTATTGTTGCACACTTTGCAGGAGGCTACTCTTGGGCTTCGCTTGACCCTCGTCTTAGCCATGGCTTGTATTTGTCTTCTGCTAGCCAACGCTCGTTGAAACGGCAACCTCCTGGCATACTGTCATCTATCACTCATCAGAATGCCCAGGTCACACACGTAACAAAAACACTTGCCGGTCACGCGCATTGCGGAAGGCCGGGGCGGAGCTGTTTTATGTAAAAGTGAAGCAATTAAGCGCGCTCCGACTTCTTTATTTTCTTTTAATCTAAAAAGCGAAGTAAAGCATTTACAATTTCAAGCACTTTATCCCAAATTCAAGCACCATTCCCAAAATTCAAG